CTCATTCCCTACTCACCAAGCAGACACCAACTCTCTTGCAACTCCCTCCCTTCGCCTCCACCAAGGTCATTTAGCCGATGCCCCAAAAGCATGTTCTCTCCTCCCACAGCGTTCTCTGCTACCCCCCGTCAGGGACTGCAGCACCGTGTGCTTCACCACTTGCCTTCATCGGCCATCAGAGTAAACACAGACTATGCCAAACTTCGAGTCGTACTGCTGACCTTGTGTTGCTCTCAACACCTACAGACATCTGCTCTCATAGAGAAGCGCCTCTCCTCCGGGACGTAAAAACTTGACCGTAAAATCAGATCTCTGACTCTAATGAATGGCAGTATCCTGCTACCCCCCGCCATCCCCGGCCACCCCCCMCCATCCCCAGCCACCCCCCGCCATCCCCCGCCACCTCCCCCACCGCTGCTTTCACTGTTCCAATCCTCCTGTCAATTGCTCAGAAGATCTATGACCAATCCTCCTATCAAGTGAACGAAGCATCCGTGACCATCAAACAGCGAACTAACTATTCATCAGACTTCCCAGACAAAGAAACTAAGACAACACACTCTTTGATCTGTGGCAGAACACTTGTCACCATCCCTACCAACAACCTTCCTTCTTCCAAGTTACAGCTCTAGTCTGCACAGACATCTGAAACCTAATCATCATCTCTCTACAACCCCTACAAACCCTAAACCCTACAGTTCAGACTGCGTAAGGAAACTTGAAACCACAAAGACACTCTTACCTGGCGTTAATAACGAGTACTTGCTGCCAGTCCACAGCTGACTGAGCCTATAACAGCCTGCAAGCTGCCACGTTGGCCCGCATTGCCGGCAGAAGACTTGGCTGATCGACCGATACCAGTGACCATCCGATAATCCTGCTGCCACTCAAGAGAGCTTCACTCACACAAAACCACCCACTGCGAAGAATGTCCATATCGCTCTACCAACCACGTGCACAAAATCAACCTGTAGTTAAGAGGACGCTCGGTTTGCACTACGCACTCTGCACCAAAATCGATCGCTTCTTCCCTTTTCTGGAGACATTACTGCCAGCTGACATCCATGATGATGTGTCGCGAAACAGCAAATTTCCTGGCAAACGTCCTCACCGACTGTTCAGAGAAAGACCTTCACAAGACAACCCGAACTTCCACTTGCGATTTAGAAGCGGTCCAGAAGCTGCAGCTCCTCCTCATGGACATTTACCTGCACGCCTCAGGCTTCTTTTTTTTTTTTCGTTTTTTTTTGAAGTTTTAGTGTATGAACGTATGCGTTACAGATCACCCCACTCATCCGATTGCATGTCTCATTCAATCAATCTTCGTTTGCTGGGCTGCACTCTACTGTGTTGTGCAAGGACACACCATCAACCTGAACCTGGTTTAGAGCGGAGAGGTAAGCCCACAGAGAACCAGACAGAAGCTGCAGACATGCGTACCAAGTAGTATTCCAAACCTTATTGCAGTCGTTCACTAGTTCAGCGACCTGGTCGAGTTGCTGCAGACCAGGCTTGTGATCGATGAGAGCATTGCGGCTATTCTGTTGAAGATAGCATGTTCTCTCCCTCTTGATGTGCAAGCTGTTGGCCTTGCTGAGTTACTGATTGAGGTATACACCACATGTTTTCAACAGCGGAGCAATCACAATCAAGTCTGGGCGACTGCCCCTTTGGGCTAGGCATTCCTCCCCTGACATCTCTATCATCGGCTGAGATATAGACACAGGCATGCTGGAGCAGGCAACTGTGCCATAACATTTCAAGCACTTCCATCTTTGGTGCCAACAGAAGAAGCGGACGTGGAGTTGGCTCCTCCATTAGATGCAGCTGCTGCTGCTACAGCGGCCGCCGCTGCTGTAGTGACCTTAGCAGCCCCCTCCAGTGTCTGTGCCTTCTTAATCAAATTGTAGGCCTCGATAATATCTCCGTCCACCCATTCGTTGAAGTCCTCCACCCCTACACCGCATTCTAATCCCATCGCAACCTACAAGCACATCAAACAACAGTACACACATTATTCCTTTTTCCACACACACACACACCTGTCTCTTATACACATGTATCAGCCTTAGATCCTGCACCTTAGGCCTTAGCCTCCATGAGACAAAGTATCAATCAGCCTTAGATCCTGCACCTTAGGCCTTAGCCTCCATGACACAAAGTATCAGCCTTAGATCCTGCACCTTAGGCCTTAGACCCTAGCGTTGGATACTGGTGGGTGAGGCATTGATTTAGGTAGTGAGTGTGAGGCGAGAGAGAAGAATGTAGGGTAGGTAAAAAATACAGCTGTCCACCATACGAGGAGAAGACAACTGTAGTTTTTCATATAAAAAAAAAGATGAAAAGGGGAAGATAGAAAAAATAAAAACAAAACCGCAAACCGAAATAAACCCCTTAGAAGTCAACCCCCCTTGCAACCCCCTTTAACACCCATGTGTACTACCTCTACAAGGCACTCTGTCCATGGAACCTTCAAATATAATGCCCGGCCGTTCTATTCCAATATAACGCCAGGGCTTTCTAACGGCTGGCCATTCTATTCGGATATAATGCCCGGACGTTCTATTCGAGTATAACGCCCAGGCGTTCTATTTGAAAAGAAGTGAGTAAAAATGAAATTCTGATCTTTTTACGGTAAGTCAGTGTCGCATCCCTGACGGTCGGTGCCCCTTGACTGGTCGGATGCCGACCAGCCGACCGGTCGTCTGGTCCGCACATACCGGTCAGGGCACCCCACCATTTTTTTATTTTATTTTTTTTTAAATTTTGTTTGGGTAAGTCTGGAGGCCTGCTGCAACGCACCAATGCCGCCGATGGATGCCTCCTCTCACTTCAAGTAGCAGGCTACTACTTGAAATTTGGAGGCGGGCACAACTACCTGCAGCACGACTGGCACCCAAAAGGCTCCACAAAGTCTGGAGGCCTGTAACGCACCGACGCTGCCGATGGATTTTATCGACGGCGGGCGCGACCTCCTCACACTTCAAGTAGCAGGCTACTACTCGAAATTCGTAAGCCTGCGGGTAGTGGTGGTTTAAAAGGGCGACGGTCTTTGAGATATCATCATCGAGTTGACCGGCCCCAAGTAATTCAGAATTATTTCATTGCATTCATCAACGTCCATCGGGATTCGAACTGGGGTCTGTAATTCAAAAGTTCACAGTTCATGGGCGTACCAACTGAGCTAGCCTCGTTGGGAAGTCCACTGTTTTGAACATCTGTATCTGTTTCACATCAATAAATTTCCTGTGATTCTCATTGGCTGTTCTACCTTTTCAGATATAGGAAGCATCAAGATTCAAGAGCGAAAACAGAGAAGGAAAAGACTTCAGAAAAGAAACATACCTCCATCAGTAAATTGGGTACCATGTCATCATCCCTCTTTTCCTAAAATCAAGAGCCACAATTTCAACAAACTGTTAATTACCTGTTGAAGTTGAACTGTCGAACACAGTTTTAAAAATACAGTTGAAAAAACGCAAACCTTGACGGAATAAATTTCAACAACAAACTGCAACTGGCCCCTTGGGAGGGAAATAGTGTACAAGGTACCCCTCCAGAAACCAAATATGTCTGAAGAGGCTATCGACATCTCAGTGAGGAGACACCCTCTCTCTCTCTCTCTCTCTCTCTCTCTCTCTCTCTCTCTCTCTCTCTCTCTCTCTCTCTCTCTCCCCCCTTCCTCAACANGAGAGAGAGAGAGAGAGAGAGAGAGAGAGAGAGAGAGAGAGAGAGAGGTGGGAGATTACATCTGCTGCCTTAGGAACTGGTTATAGCCTGTGATGGCTCGGAAAGGGAGAAAGTCTGGAGTGGGTGGTTTCTCCTCTCCATTCTCTACCAGCAAGGTTTTTTTGTCTGCTGCTTTCAACAGATGCAGCGAAGGAAGGTTGCATTTAAAGGGATAGAACTTGAAAGTTGCGCTACAGACAAACAAAAAAAAAGGTTGAACTATACTCCGAGAACCACGACGTAGTCCCGGTCTTGTCGAGGAAGGGACAGCTAAACACGTGCGGAAAATCATTTCGACAGCATCTAATGTTCACAAGCATTCCATCAACAAAAAAAATATTCCGCTGAAGTTTCATGCCTGTAACAATCAGGAGAAAGACTTTGAACTGTTGACTTGGCTGCTGCCGCCTATCTCGGCCTTGACGTCCAGGGCCTCATGAGAAGGTCCGCCCACTGGTCGTCTTCCGTGGGATCATAATCGACCTACCTCCCTTGCTCGAAACCACCTGACGCGCCAATACCTAATATGAAAACTTATAACATATATTATCGACTAGACTTGCATAACTTAGCGCCATCACTGCTTTCCCAGGCTGAAAATCCAGCAGGAAGTGTACACCCAGTGGTCGTCTTCCGTGGGATGGGATCATAATCGACCTACCTCCCTTGCTTGAAACCACCTGACCCGCCAATACCTAAAATGAAAACTCATAACAGATATTATCGACTAGTCTTGCATAACTTAGCGCCATCACTGCTTTCCCAGACTGAAAATCTGGCAGGAAGCGTATGTGCCAGATGCGTCAGAGATCCGGACAATCCTAATCATGAAGTCTCAGCAGTTGGAGGCAATAGTGTTTTTTCCTCTTTTAAAAAGGCAACAGACTTGAGATATCATCTTTGAAGTTTGAACTGACTCGCCCCAGGTAAATTTGGATTTAATTTTTACTCATCTGATTCCATCTGGATTCGAACTCAGGTCTCTATCTCAACAGTCCTGGGGGCATGCCAACCCAGAGCAAGGCCAGTCGGAGGGGAAATGTTATCGAGTTATTTGAACGTATTTTAATTTTTAACTTACTTGAAGTCATTTCAACTTATTGAGTCGTCGCATAAAGCAGGCTCTTTTCTTCTACTTTGACCATGATTTAATGGTGGTTGCTTTCAGGTTATTAAAAAGAAAAAGAGAAAACAGAAAACAGAAAACAGAAAAAAAAAGACATCAGCGCCACTTCAAGGAAGAAGAAACATAACAGCACAACCAAATGGTAGGTGAGGCTGACAATGAGATCAGAGGGATTGTGATTGTGCATGCATACCTCGATGGGGTCCAGCAACCCCTCCATGGCCCTGCGCATGTCATCAACAAGCTCATAGATGACTTTATACTGCCTAATCTCCACGCCCTTGGATTCAGCCAAAACCTCCACGCCTGGCTGGAAACCTACATTAAATGCAATGATAATGGCATCACTGACAGCCGCAAGATCAACATCGCTGCCATTCACATCTCCAGCTGCCTGCATGAGGAAGCGCAGGCCAACTGCCTCCTGAGGAAGAACCGACAAGGCTTCCCGTATGGCCTCCACGCTCCCCTGGGCATCGACCCTCAGAACAACGTTCAATTGCTGGCGCTCTTGTGTGTCTCCTGATTGAGCTGCACCTGAGAAAAGGGAACACACATAATGTGAAGCTCTGTCAATGGCTGTGTCAAAAAGTCCGTTTCAGTTTTACACCTGACTGTGCCTCTAAAGACCCTCCCACCCCCCCCCCCCCCCCCCCCCCCCCCCCCCCCCCCCCGAATGAGAGAAAGGGGAGAAATGTAATGTCAAAGACTCAATACCCTCAAAACCTTATCAAGATAGATGGTAAGGAGAGCCCTACTTTTCAACGTATGAGCTGCATGGGGCCCCGGGGCGGGGGGGGGAGGAGAGGGGAGAGGGGGAAGACGGCAGCCTCTGTTAACAACTCGTGCCGTATTACCATCGAATCTTCTTTGCTATCGCCGCTCTTAGATGCCATCCTACTCGTCATACCCCTCTCAACCCCCAAATCCAGAAGTTTGGTGCTCTCTCCAATTGAGTGTACAAGCACATTCTGAGGTCCCCTTTCGTCTATGAGGGTATAGGACATCGCTTTTGCATGGTCGAGATGCATTCAGAACTCCTAGCCTTTCGCATGGTCCACATTTTTGTCGCTTGCCTGAGCCATACAGAAATGATTGTTTATGCACTTGTTGCCAACTGCCCACACACCTGCTCTCACCCCCCCCAGACAAACCCACCCAGCGGGACAAAAAATACACAGCACTTGCATTGCAAATTTCTGATGCCTCATGGAATCCCCATCCCCACTGGACGGTATGAATGGCAGCAGCCGAGCATCGGCTGCCCAACAACTGGCAAAGCAACTTCAAATGCAGCACTCTTCATGCCATCCACCCCGAGCAGAATAAACTGAAGTGCCCTCTTTTGCAGAGTTTGACAGGTTGGAAGGACAGGTCCAACACATGGTGTCTCAGCGCCATCAATACTAACCCAGCCTTTTGCACACCCACAATAGAGATCACTGGAGTCCCCACCAAAGGCTGCTTAATCAGCTTCCATATTTGGTAGACTCACTCATCAAAAACCAATGAATGATACCAGATCATCGCAGACAGTTTCCCATAGTCAAACAATGAAAACGCGACTTTGTAGGGGAAACGATATCGGCATCAGTTTTGGGCCTTTGGCAATACCATCACAGTCATGGCATGAAGGCCAAGATATAAAAGTGAAGGGTGAGAGAGACACTGGCACTATGAAATAAACACTTCCGATGGGAGAGAGGCCAACAGGGAACAAGAAAGAATTGACCCCGCCATTGCAATCGTATGTATTGGGTTAATGCCATGTACGGTCATCATGGCATGTGCTGTTTCCCCCCTACTTGAAAGGCACATGCTAGAGATGACCGGGTGTGGGGTAACCTCTGCTGCCACTTTGCCGGATTCCTCACCTGCAACAGAGGCAGCAAATGATGCGAGTGTGACCTTCCCCTCGCCTGCAAGAGCAGCAAGCCGTTCTTGTCGTGCCGACAATGCTCTAAGCTCGGCCCGCTCTCGTGCCTCCTTCTCAGACTCCACAACCTCGAACTCGTCCCCAGCAACTGGGACATCATTTAATCCAAGCACCTGCAAATAGCACCCGAGCCGGCACACAATTAGAGATCTGCAGGTCATTTGGGAGAACCCCAATGGGATGCCACACCAACCTTTGCTTCGGCCTAATGCCATATCTGTTTTTGTGTTCAGAATCTAGTCAACCAGCCCCTCCTCTCCCCCCCCCCCCCCCCCCCCCCCACAAAAAAGGCCCAAAAATATGCAACCCCTTTCCCTTGACAGTGTTAGTGCAATGCTTGGAAGCGCAAACCTCCATGCACTACGGGCAATGCACCAGTGCTTAAACATGAGTGCCCGACGCAATCCAAAAGTCGCAGTGGTATACGTACTGGGCATGGGACCGTTCAGCGCAGTGCTTGAAATTTCGAGTGTGCTGACTTTTGCAAATTTTCGCGCTCAGAATTGTTGGCGAAAACTTTGGAACAAAACAAGGGCCACAAAAAAAAAAAAAAAAAAAAAAAAAGTTCAAGGGCTGTAGATGTAGGTCCCGATCTTTTCAGGGAAAATATTAGAAAATTTGGTCTGGCTAGCAACCAACATTCTGCAGCACTTCTTCGATCGGTGCTCCAGGCTTGAGAAAATGTGCCGGCTCAGTAACTTTTTTACAGTTCCAGTAAGTCCCACAATGGTAAACAAGAAATGAATCCTACAGTGAATAACATCGATGTTTGTACTACTTTGTAATTGTATTGAACCTCCCCACATAGTTGCTATCCAACTAAATATCTTGATTCCAGTCGACTCCGCTATACTCATGGTTGCTGCAATAAGGGGACTGGTTGTTTAAGAAGTATAGCCATCAAGAACACGTCATCTTCGCAGGCCCCAACTCCAAGTGCCGCTGTCTCACTCCAAACACACGATAGACAGACTCAGAGACATGCTGACTATCAATCAGCTGTTGATTTGGAGACACAGCAAACAACCAAAAGGAGAGAGAGAGAGAGAGAGAGAGAGAGAGAGAGAGAGAGAGAGAGAGAGAGAGAGAGAGAGAGAGAGAGAGAG